TGCTCTCCCTGAGGTTTCTCCCATTTTCCCCTTTAAACTGTGGGTTTTTTCTCTGGAAGTTTTTCCTTGTACGATTTGAGGGTCTGAGGTCAGAGGGTGTCGTTTTCTCATACTGATATTCAACTGTGCTGTTGTATTTGCTGTATAGTGTCCTTACTGTAAGGTAATTATTATATGTGCAGCACTTTGGCTTGAACAAAAATCGTTTTAAAAAGGTGCTATATAAATAAAACTTGATTTGACTTGATAACTGAAGTTGGAAATTATTCAAGAGGCGCTGGACTATATGAATCAAATCATCTTATGTGTATTACAAACATGATATGAGTATTTTCTTTCCTAAATATTATGGGTATTCAATCAATACCCATATCAATATCGACACACTTTTAGAGTGCCCTTTAAAGGTGCGAGGTAACTTCAGTTCACATCGGTCACCTTTAAAAGAGACTTAAGCAGACAGGCACTGTGGTTTGGTGGTCAGAGACATAATTACAGGTTTGATCTCCACAGGAGCTCCGTGTTGTGTTAACTTTCCCTGAGCAAGATGCTGGACCTCATATGCAGCTTTGAGAACAGCATCATACATGTGGGTCATCTGTGTTTGAGTCACAGTTAGGTAATTGAAAGAATACCTGTGGTTTTGAAGCAGAGACTTCAGCACTCCCTCCTTGGATTCAGGTTTGATCTCCTTCTTGTTAACCATCTCGTTGACCATCTTCTCCGCGATGCTGGCAAATGTCTGCTCTTCACAGTCGAAAATGGTCACACCTTGGAAATAGGAACATGTTGGAAAATGATCAGAAGTGATCATGAGACGAGGGCAGTGTTGTGGTTTAAGAATAACAGGTTTAAACAAGGAAGAGTCTGTAGGATTTGAAGGGGTTAACTTTGGCTCTTCAGCGGTGAAACATTAGAGTGCCCCGATTAATACTGACTAATGATATCACTATACATGTCAAAGCAATTAAATGTAGTAGTTTGTCAATGTTTGGACAATTTAGACTCTTTGTCAAAAGATGGGTATTAAAAGCATGGTACCATATCACATCATAAGCATATCATGTGTTTGTATGTGTAAAAAGTAGCTAGTAACTATGAGAGTGAAATAAATAAAGTGCAATATATATAGTATATAAGTAGTTCTTAAGTACAGGACTCGAGTAAATGTATTTGGTCAAATTCCTTCACAGAGTATAGAGTAGCATAACTTGGAGTTACTCAAATGGAATACCAGTCATTGAGTAAACGTACTTTACTTTGCACCACAGAATACAATAGCTTGGTTTATGTTTATGTAGAAACTCTATATGTTTGAATTTGATTTTGCTCTGACCTGTGTTCATGGTGCGTCTGAGCTGGATGAGGCTCTTGAAGGTGAGGTAGGAGATGCTGGAGGTCGCCCACACCCCGGCCTGAGGGTCGAAGCTCTCCTCGCACCCCACCCATCGGCCCGTCTCCTGCCAGTAGGTCTGCTGCTTCTGGTCCTTCATTGGCTCCTTCAGCTCCACGCACTGCTGAAGGCACGGAGAGAAACACAAACACCCGCTGATGAGGACCTGAACGTGGGACACAAACCATGCTTGTGTCTGTGAGACGGAGAGGGAAAATGTGCACGGTGCAGGTGGATGAAATGAACGGGCACCTCCCACAATTACAGCTTTTCCACATGTGGTTTCACTGACCCCTTCCTGCTTGTCTGTGTGTTTCACTGTAAGGTCAGCCTCTATGTAAGCTGGAAATAGATATTTGAGTACAAAAAGCTTTATTATCAGATGTTAATAGATTTTAGGTTAGGTTGACATTACTTCAAGGCCATCTTCAAGCAACAACCACATTCCAATATGAGCCGTAAAAGGATATTTGGTTGCTGCAATTGTACTTATCTTACCAAAGCTGCAGTTTGTTTGTAGCAAATAGTTTTAGTCTTTGTCTTGTTGTCCCTCTGATGCAGGGTGTGATGTTAGGCTACTATTTAGGATAAGATAAGGTAGAACTTTATTATCCTTGAAGGACTTTTGATTTATAAAGAATAACAATAACAAATGTGAGAATGAAAATAAAATACGATAAAGTAGTAAAAATAAAGGAGTAATACCAGTGCTTAATAGAATAACAATAAAGGATAGGTTTATGTAAACTCAATCTAAAAGTAACGATAAAACAAAGTGAATTATATTAAAAGACTTAAGTAGATATTATTAAAGCATGAAGTAAGTATTTGCATTTTCATTTCATTTGGTTTCATTCTTATCAGGAGTAACTTGCACTTAGCATAGCACTAGAGAAAGAAAATGCACCTTTCTGTTTGTACTTAACTTTTCCAGACTGACTTTAAACAAACCTTTATTTTCATGAGGATATTGGCTCTAAAACTAAACTAACTTAAGGTCATGTGTGGGTGAAAAGAGCACCAGAAATATCATCCTGCATACCCAAAGAGAGAAGCACTCTCTGCAGACCAGGGTCAGATAACACCACGTTCATGCTTCACTACATTACAGAAACACGGATGATATGTTGGGTGTTAAGTGTCACAAAAAGATAACATCATTCCCTAATCCTCTTGTAATCCTCTGTTCAGGACCAGTGGGGGATTTGGAGCAGGTTAGTGTTATGTTTGGACTGTCAATACATGTCGTGTGCCTTGTTACAGTGTGTGTGTGTGTGTGTGCGTGCGTGCGTGCGTGCGTGCGTGCGTGCGTGCGTGCGTGCGTGTGTGTGTGTGTGTGCATGTGTCCCTTACCTGACACTATGCACTGGGGTTGGAGTTGGTTTTCCAGGCAGCTGTAAAAGACACAATGGACTTTGTTAAAACCTACTCTTACAATGACACAGTGAATAATATAAAATGAGATTAAGTTCCCCTTATAATCATTAAATTGAATTTGTTTTTACCATTTTTGGGGTTTAAATAAAATGGTGTGTTAGGAAATATTGCTTTGGGTTGTTGAGTTTTAGTGTTATGCAAGAGATCATCCACAGTGTCCATATTATCTCAGATTGGACCAAAGCGCTGAAGTTGACTGTCACAACAGGACGATTATTTCCAAAACACAGCTGAGCAGAGGGGTGGAAGATTTGGATTAGGCAGACTAGACGCTCTGTGTGTTTGTGTGTGTGAACAAATTGGCATATTCTTAAGTTTAAAGTTCATAAAAATGAACTTTGTTACATGAGTAGGTGTAAATGCTGTGTGAAATGTTCTCAAATGGCATCAGGATGACGGTACAATCATAACTCTATTGGTTCATGTTGCGGGGAAATATGCATCACACCCAAAAAACACATTTAATGGTTGTTTCAAAATGTAAAACTAATGTCACATTAAAACATGCATATTTCTGTTTTTTGTCGTTTTTATTTCAACATGTGTCCATTGCAAAAAATACTCTTTATGTTGTTGTCAATATGCATGTGAGAAGATAATTCATACTTCAAGAAAATGTTAATGCACACCCAACATTCCCCTTTGCATAACTAATCAATTGTAATGACTAAGATTATTGAGAGACTTGGTTGTATTGCAAAGCACTTGGTAATGAATGTCAAATGTTCTCCTCATGTGTGTTACATTATTAAGTATGAATGCCTTCAGCGTCTAACTTTCTTCAGAGTAGTACTTTGCAGTTCAAGAATATTTTAAGAAAAATAAAACTGAAAATGTCTCTACTAATATTTGTCAGCCTTTGCAACCAAACAACAATAACAGCAACAGTTTAGTTTACAAGAGTTCCTCTATTTGTTATGCTTCAAAGCTGCAGCTTTACTTCTCAAATACCACTCATAGCTCTGGCAGAAAAGGTGACACTTACCTCATGCAGGCACTCAGCAGCATAAAAGACAGCAGGATGGTAAAAATGCACGACTTTATAAACACAACCTCTTTAAAGCCGCCTGTATTTGTTTGTCACACACACACACACACACACACACACACACACACACACACACACACACACACACACACACACACACACACACACACACACACACACACACACACACACACACACACACACACACACACACACACAGTTTACCACAAGATGGAGATCATGTGATGTTTGAAGCAGCTGTCCTGGACCTGCAGATCTGTGGAGAATCATCAGTAGTAGCAGACGATGCGTACAGGAGAGCAACCAATCATGTTCCTTCTCTCTAGGTCATGGCCCCACCCCTTTTTTTAGAGGGTAAAAGACACAGCTCTAAAACTGTTGAAAGGACCGCCTGAACTCTCAATGATTCCTTATTTTAGTACGAGTTACTGAATGTAAACATGGGTTTTAACAACGCTGCGTCCACACACTTCCTCCACTGATAGGATTCAAGATTCAAGGCTTTTATTGTCATTTGTACATTAGCTACAGAGTAGATATATCAATGAACATCTGAGGTCACAGGCTCCTCCAACAGAGCAACACAATNCTCCCTGCGGGTGCCTGTCTGTGTCTGTGTATTTGCATGTTCCGATTAACCCAGCCTCCCCCAAATGTTCTTTTTCTTTGGTGTCTATATCTACGCCGGCCCGGCGTAGATATAGACACCAAAGAAAAAGAACATTTGGGGGAGGCTGGGTTAATCGGAACATGCAAATACACAGACACAGACAGGCACCCGCAGGGAGCAAGGTCCCCGCTAGGGCCTAGTTGGAATTGGTGAGAGGTAAGGAGGTACGCTGTGGCTACGGCATAACACTCCCCGGCTGGAAATAGGCCCCTCTGCAAACCTGTTTCCCTCCAATAAAACCTTGTGAGGTCATGGAGGGAAAAGGTTTTGGATAAAGAGAAAATAGAAAGAGTAGTAATAACCTTAGTTTTAGATATAAGATCCAAGTTTTTAGGATTTAAGTGAAAGAGCAAGAACCAAAATGTAGGTGAAGAGGCACAGCGTATCTGCGTCAAAGCACTCATTAGGTTATTTGATCAACTATCTATAAGCTTTATCAAAAGGAAGGTCTTAAGCGTACTCTTTAAACGGATAGGCTGTCGGCCGCCCGAACACAAACTGGAAGCTGATTCCACAAAAGTGGAGCTTGATAAGAAAAGGCTAGAAGGCCAGAGAGAAGAAGTGAGTTGTAAGTGTTGATTTAAAAGCCCCTAATGTCTGGGCCAGTTATGGTTAGAGACTCACCGCCTCCCTTCACTTCTATTTTGAGTGAAATAAATATGCCGACATTCTTTTTAAATAAATATTATTTTTTTGAGTTCTTTAGTCTAGAATAATCATTTAGAGAAAATCTGATATTGTGACAACCTTGTCCAAATATTTGATGTACGCTGTTAGATATGGATTCCTTTGTTCAGAATATAACAGGAATTCATTAAAAAATCATTTTATAAATAATGATTTCGTTTTTATTCCTAAAGCCGGTTAGATTTTAAGATATTTACACAAAAATATATCAGAATCAACCTTTAAAGGGATAGTTTGACCTCCTGGAAAATATGATAAGCTTTCTTGATTGTTAGATGACAACACTTGATCTCATGGCTGTACATAAATACAGCACGGTACACAGTAATTATGAAGCAACAGCCAGCAGCTAGTAAGATTAGCTTAGCATAAATAATGAAACTGTGGATTACAGCTATCTCTTTGATCAAATCTGCCCACTAAACCTTATCAAGTATGCTGTTGAATGGCTGCTTATCATCTTGAATGTATGCACAGACTACTTTCTTCTGCTAAAGAAAACCATTTGATTGTCTTTCATCAGTCTGACACCTAAACAGCCAATGACACGTGTCGTTTCCTTCCTCCAGCCAATCAGATGACCCGGAGAAACAAGCCCTGACTGATGGGGTGGATCTACAGAAGTTTTCAGTCAAGGACAGGGTAAGATCTTCCCCTGATGAAATTATCTACATGAATGAAAGTCATTGATGATAACTTGAACTGATATCCTCATCAACAATGGTGAGACGGTGGCAGTGAATTTAAAGAAAGCGACTTCTGGCATCAGATCATTTAGAAAGTCCTTGAGAGAAGTCAGAGTTTAGAGGAGTCTGTTGCTTTTTTTGGGACATACAATATAATTGTTTTGTTCTGGTACACAAAACCTCAGTTTTTAGTTGTTGATTAAATTACATTTACATTTTCATTTATGTGCTAAGTGGATCTTAATCAGTTTTAAGGGCCGAAACAAGTCTTGACATGTTTACTATTTAAAAGTAAGTATTTGAGCACAGCAGACATTTCTTAGATTGGGATTTCCTCTGAAAACTGTTCCTATCATTTTCAAACATCACAGATTATTAAGTCAAGCTTTACTAGAGAGAAATTCTATACTCTGTGTCCCTTCAGAGAGATGAGTCTGACTGCGTTGAGGCTTCCATGGTGCTAGTAGGTAAGCCAGTGTTTGCATTGTTCATGTTTCATTTAGGATATGCAGTTTGTATGTTTGTTGCAGTAGTGATTGCATACAATACAATTCTACTTTTTTATTTTTATTTTCTTAACAGGAGCTTTGGAAATTCTGGAAAAGCCTACCGTGGTGTTTGTACGTCTGAAGGAAGCCGTCGTGCTCGACCCGGCCCTGGAGGCCCCGGTGCCCGTACGCTTCGTCTTTGCTCTAGTTGGCCCCACTGAGACTGACATGGACTACTGCGAGACCGGCCGTACTATGGCAGCACTAATGGCTGACAAGGTGAGTTAGCTGATACCTTCTGTACTTTCTGACCTAAATTGTGTGAGCAGTGACTCATTTAAGGAATAATTTCCTCCTAAAATGCTCATTTGTATATATAAATTCACCCTCTTTAATTCCACATCAACAGTACTCACAATGATTTGCACCATTCTTTCCCAAGCAAGTGTTTTAAATGGTAAAATTCAGTGAAAGTGCCTGTGTTTGGGAAGTAGTGGGCATGTATGACTTATAAATGAGCCCTAAAACTAATTCTGTATGAGGTTTTGTCTACAATTAGTGTGACTGTTTTGCTGTTGTTTAAAATTGTATGAGTTGAAGTATTCCTTTAACAGAACAGATACGTAATGATTGAAAGACATCTTCAGCTACAAATGCAGGGTATAGCTAGTAGTAGGTAGTAACATACACTTAAATCCTCATTTAGATTGTTCTAATAATGCCAGAAGAATATAAACTCCAAACAAAACAAATTGTGCTGATTAAAGGAATGTTTAGATGAAGGAATTGTACTACCACTCTGTACCAAAGGTATTGAGTCTTAACATCTCCTCAACTATCTCCTCCACATCCAGGTTTTCAACCAGGCAGCGTTTCAGGCGAATAGCCCCCGTGCACTGACAGACGCCGTATCCGACTTCATGGACTGCAGCATCGTCATCCCTCCCACAGAGATCCAGAACGAAGCGATGCTCAGCTCCATTATCAGCTTTCAGAAGAAGCTACTTCAGGACAGGTTCCAACGCTCTGATCCAAACAACGACCTGGAGTCCAAACCTCGCAAGGGTGAGTCTTCAACACACACCCATAACTCCATGTACACAAAATCAACATGGTTTTTTCCCTGCAGTTTCCTTTTGTGCTGGTACCCCACCTGAAGACCCACTGTCCCGTACTGGTCGCCCATTTGGAGGGATGATACGAGACATGAAGAGGCGCTACCATTACTACAAGAGTGACATCACAGATGCATTTAACGCCCAGGTCCTTGCTGCGGTCATATTCATTTACTTTGCTGCGTTGTCTCCTGCCATTACCTTCGGAGGACTGCTGGGTATGTGTGGATAGCAATTGCATTTGTATGAGACCTCGTGTTTCTATTGCATGGTTTAACATATGATATGTTTTTTTTAAGTAATTGTGTGGGGTCCATAGAAATCCAATGTTTAATATCTAATGGTAAAAAAAGACACACACATACAGATAATCTGGACAAATTGACTAATTCCATTTCACCCATTTATAATGCTTGTGTCATCTAAACATGGCAACATTTTTGGTCTGGGCTCTTTGAACAGAGCATTGTGTGTCATTAGGAAAACAAATATGCCACAGCCAAGTAACATTGCCCTCATGTTAGACTTCTTAAATGATGTTGAATGTTTCCATTTGACCTGCTTTTATTCATTGTCATATTGTCAAAAAAGGTCTAAATGGGACCTGAGGGTGTTAACAACCATGTGACCCTTTAAACCAGGGGTCTTCAACGTTTTTCAGGCCAGGGACCCCCAAACTGATGGAGAGCTGGAGCAGGGACCCCCCTACTATATGTATGGCATACAATTGTGTTTTATATTAAACGGGGCCTAGTGCCGTGTATAAACATAGCTACTCTGTTATTGTACATTCAATACTAAGCTTTTCAAATAATACACAGGTTAATATATTCATGTTTTTATTTTAAACATGTGCAAGGTACAGGGTGGCCGTGCCACTGCCATTTATAAACATACATCTTGCACGGAACACAGAGCTATTAAAATAATTCACAGATTTTAACTTTAAACATACAATAAACATACATCTTGAACACAACACAGAGCTATTAAAATAATTCACAGATTCAAGTTTTAACTTTAAAGAGCAACTTGCAGGTTAGAGACACTAGTGAATAAATGTGTAGGAAAATGATGAATACACTAGATTTTTTTAAAAATATACAGAAATATACACTCCAGTGACATCTGGCGTCGTTTTGGTAAGACATTTTCACTTCCGCATAAAAAAGCCTCGGCACGTGACCTCCCGCGTGTGACGTAACATGGGGGAGAGCGGCCGGTCTAACGTATGAATAAACATGGATCACAATGCCAGTTTTAACAGAGAAGAGGTTGAAAATATATATTCAAATGCATATGATTATAATTATGAGCCTGCTATGCGTGCAAGAGACCAGGAGCAGCCAAGGATTCGAAAAAAATAACGGCCATCAGCGAGAAATGGAGCTGTGGTGTGAGGAGAAGCAGTGGAGAACAGGGCAGTTGTCTTGGTGAGGGACCGGCGTTAGCTACAGAATGTTAGCTAACGTCAGTCACATCACAACATTGTAAAGTTAGCAATCATATATCAGGCTATAACTAAAGTAGTAATATAGTAACGTTACTGGCAGGACTGTTGACACTGATCCATAACAGAAACTAATGCGCAAGTATCAGCCGTATCTCGCGTTACCTAATGCAACTCCACACTACGGTGCTGTGTACCGGAGGGGAGACGCGAGATACGGCTGATACTTAACGATCTGGCGGAGAAAGGTTGTGGAGCAGAAGATAACGTCTTCTGCCTCGATTTCTCCATTCGCTACAATATGTTGGATTCATGTTAATGTGCATTTAAAGACATTTCAATTTGTGGGAAAAAAATGTTTGGAAAACTTTTTTTTTTTAAAGAATTTTTTTTTTGTCTAATCAACCAAAGATTTCGCGACCCCCCTGCAGTACCTCCGCGGACCCCTGTTGAAGACCTCTGCTTTAAACTAATCACCTGCAATCTCCTTTATACAAAATACATGACTTCCATTCTCCTTCATGCTCTGATCAAGGCCAGTGGGACAAAACATTAGCATGTTTGTTTGACAAGGCCAGAAAAAAACTGAAAATATACTGAGTATTTTTCCCTGAAGAACTGTGTGTGTGCTACCTGTTTATCCTTTTGTTTATTTAACATTTGAGGCCATATTAATAATATGTTGTCATCTTTGCGACTACAGCTGATAAGGTGGACAACATGATGGGCGTTTCAGAGCTCCTCATCTCCACCAGCATTCAGGGGATCATCTTCTGCTTCGTTGCTGCTCAGCCCGTCCTGGTCATCGGGTTCTCTGGTCCTCTGCTAGTGTTTGAGGAGGCCTTCTTTGTTGTAAGCTATACCACTGAATCCTGTGATGATCCCACTGAACATACATTTTCAAATACCACTTCCCGTGATTGATGTTTGTTTAAGTTCAACTGGTTCCCATTGCCCCTTCTTTCAGTTCTGCAAGTCTCAGGACATTGAGTACATTGTGGGGAGAGTGTGGGTTGGCGTGTGGTTGGTCATCATCGTGGTGGTCATTGTGGCCTTTGAGGGCAGCTTCCTGGTGTGTTTCATCTCCCGCTTCACCCAGGAAATCTTCTCCATCCTCATATCCCTCATCTTCATCTATGAAACATTTTCCAAGCTAGGAAGGGTAAACCTTTTTCATCCATGTCACACATTTCATCTGTCCAAATGGAATTTAATACATTTCCTTTCTGTCATTATAAATGTGTCTTATCTTATAATCTGCTCTCTCTTGACCTCTCTTTAGACCTTTAAGGCTCATCCGCTCACTCTGAATTACGATCATGTGAATACAACTGTAGAAAATCCCTGGCACCCAAAGGTGGAGGAGATGGCCATGTATGACAACGCTACCGGGAACACGACTGTTGTTGTCAACATTATTAAGCCGTCTTACCCCAACACAGCCCTACTCTCCATGTGCCTCATGTTAGGCTGCTTCTTCACCGCTTACTTCCTACGCCAGTTCAAGAATGGCACTTTTCTGCCTGGAAAGGTACGTCTTGTCCACAGGCTAGTATTTTACTAATTAATTTACAGTTGAATGAACAAGTCGTGTATTTTATTGGCTATTCAATTAAATTGTTTAACTCTTCAAACAGGTCAGACGTTTGCTTGGTGACTTTGGTGTGCCCATTGCCATTTTCCTCATGGTTCTCCTGGACTACAACATTGATGATACCTACACTAAGGTTGGTCCATCAGTCTAAGTTTCCAAAGCCAGTTGATGTACTGAAAACCTGCGTCATTCAGCTTGAATGTAGTATATTATAGCTTCACACTAACCCCTAAAACATTTGTTAGGTACACACATAAATTGATTTTGCTGCTGTAATCATTCTTCCTTCACGTCAAAAGATACAATCATAATGTTATGTCAATTTAAGTGTTGTAAAAAATCCATCGTTCTCTCTCTAAGCAAAAATGTATCTAGGCTAATACAGTACAACCCATGTCTTGATTAAGATGAACAGGTTTCACTGCACATTTTATATTTGCAAAACATAGACAAAATTATGAAAATATCCTTTAAAACATGGAAGATTTGATCAAAAACTGTTTTTCTTAACAGAAACTAGTGGTTCCCAAAGGTCTCATGGTGTCCAACCCGTCCAAAAGAGGCTGGCTCATCAACCCCTTCGGAGAGCACCAGGCCTTCCCCGTGTGGTTGATGTTTGCTTGCTGCGTCCCGGCCTTACTCGTCTTCATTCTGATCTTCCTGGAGTCTCAGATCACAACGTGGGTCATCGCTTGTCCACAACAATATCACTCACTGAATTATCAACCTGAGAAAACATATCATGTCCTGTTTTAAACTAAACTTCAAAATTCATCTGTTGACAGTCTGATTGTGAGTCAGCCTGAGAGGAAGATGGTGAAAGGCTCCGGGTTCCACTTTGACTTGCTGGTTATAGTCGGCATGGGAGGACTCGCTGCAATTTTTGGTGTCCCGTGGCTCAGCGCTGCCACGGTTCGCTCTGTCACCCACGCCAACGCCCTCACGGTCATGAGCAAAGGGACAAAACCTGTTATCGAGAGAGTGAATGAGCAGAGGGTCAGCGGCATTCTGGTGGCGCTGCTTATTGGTAGGTGTCCAATCATCCATGTCTTTTTTTACAACTCTCCTAAAATCCAACCCCTGTCATTAAAAGAAAAGTTACACAATGATCTAATTAACTTAATGCAAAGAGGAGGTTGCATTATGAACTGCAAAGCTCTGGATGCCCTTTTGAAATTCAGATTTCAAATAACCTGCATGTATACAGTATGTAACAGTATGTACTTGGCGTAAAATGTCAATCTTTTAAGACTCGAAAGGCATCGTACCAACCACAACCTCTCTTAAGTTTTATTTCATTTATTATCTGTTATATACTTCTTCCTTATTTTGTTTCATTCCATTAGGTAGTTGTTTTTTGTTGGTTACTTGTTTATCTTATTCAATGTTAATACTTTACTTAGTTAATACTGTTAACAAATGATGTTTTAATTGTAATTATCAAAAGACACAGTGAAATATCCTTTATCTATTTTTGTCTAGGTCTGTCCATTCTGATGGAGCCGATCCTAAAGATGATTCCCATGTCAGCCTTGTTCGGGATCTTTCTCTACATGGGAGTCACATCACTCAATGGCATCCAGCTGTGGGACCGTATACTGCTTCTACTCATCCCCAAGAAATACCACCCTGACGAACCCTACGTCACCAGAGTAATACTTTCTAAAATATTAGCCTAGATTTAGATTTATGTTCAACACTTACATTTAGTATTTAGAGTTAATATCCCATTTTAATATATTTTACATTTAAACATATGACTAACAACTAAAACGTATTTTTAAACCAATTTCTGTCCCAAATATTAGGAAAGTTAGCCATATTTTCACGAGAGGACATCAGCTAAATTATTACTTTTGGCACCGCGTTGAATGGTGTTCAGATTAGCAGAAATCATGTAGTCATATCAACTCACTATAAGAGCCGCTGAATTATACCAGAAGACACAAAGTATTTGTGGGTGCAGACCCTTCTAACTGATTAATATTTTTACATTTTGGCTACAGGTGAGCACAGGACGAATGCACTTCTTTACGGCCATCCAGATCGTGTGCCTTGCACTTTTGTGGATTGTTAAATCCAGTCCAGTATCCCTCGCACTTCCCTTCATACTCATCCTCACTATCCCTCTGCGCATGTTTATGACCGGCCGCTTCTTCACTGAGCTGGAGATGAAATGTGTAAGTGGAAAACTCCTGTCATTTGAATACATTTATGCAGATATACACAGAATCAAGCACTAAAGTTTCTGTTGTTTTTAGTTGGATGCTGAAGACGCCAAAGTGACCTTTGAGGAGGAGCCGGGGAGGGATGTATACTGTGAATCTCAGATGCCATTGTAGATGTCTTCTATGACAGCTATAGCATGCCAGCAATCATTTTATTTTAACAAAAATATATATTTATTTTTTATGTGGCTCACATATTTCATCTACTTATGAGCTCAAACAAGTTTTTTCTAATGAAAAATGCAGATATAGAATCTATCTTTATGAACATTGATATCTTGTATAAAAATATTTCTTTGTAAAAAATTCCTGAAGAGTCGCTCAGGTACTTTATTTGCATTATGTTGTTTTGTTTCTATAAGCTTGTGCTTTGCATACTACTGAAGCTGAAATCATATTAAAGGGACCCAAACATTTACATATTGGATGCGAAGTGAAAAATATTGTAGTATTAAAATCCAATATGTTCTTCAAGCAGTCACACATTGAATGTAATGTTGTAACATGATGTGCCACTTAAGTTATTGTTATACTCACTTTCTTCATGCTTGTAAAATCCGAATTTGAATTAAGTAATATATGATTTATGAAGTAACATTGCAAGCAAAATGTAGATACTTTAGCCAGAAGGATCAAGCTGGTAACACTACACTGTGTCGCAGTATAGGGAGTGATAAAATGGTGAATTTGTGTTTGTTTAGTATTCTTATTGTCATCTCTCTATAAATAATAAAGACTACCTCCCAAAATGCCTATCGACTTAGTTTCATTTGGTGTGGCTTCTTTCTTGGGTTAAGGGAAATTAGACCAATTCAATGCTCTGATGATACTATATTACTTTGAAAACCTGAAGCTATAGCAAAGAAACAACATGCCTTTGACAGCAGAAAAAAAATGGGGTACTTGATGGCATGCATGCCTTTGCAATACAATGAAATACTATACTTTACCTACAAGCAATAAATAAATGTACCTACATAACTATATGCACAGTTGGTGAGGATTTAGAGTTCTGCCCTTGGAGGTAGAAGATCAATTAAAATGGGGATTTTAAGAGAGGGAGCGGAGTTAAGGCAAGATATAACGATTAAAGTTCAGCTGGTAAACAAATATCCGTTATATTTCTTGTATTATTATTTTGCACCAAAACGCAATCACCCTCCGACACAATAGGTGGCGATTTGTTCAATCAACGCTGCTTGAACGCTTAACATCCGGTTATAAACACAACGAAGAAGAAACCTAGTAAGCTCATTGGCTGTTCTTTGAGGATGTTGATGATTTGGCCCACTTTTAACACGGAGACTTCTAACATGCTTTTGGTGAAAAAACACAAATTGTGAATGTGTTTCTTTTTAACGCCATGGGTGTTTTTTTCCTGCTGAGAAACGCAACGATAAAAAACCGCTAATATATATAGATTTAGGGCCAATAACGCTACTTCTTTGTAGGTTTTTTAACGAACCGAATTTTGATATGTTTGCTAACTAGCCTGTGTTGTAGAGTTTCCCACAGCCACTTGGACCGACCTAAGGCTTTGCATCAAGTGACGTAAAGAATTGGAAATACTTTTTATTGGAAAGATGAGTGGGACGACAACTGTGACTGAAGAATCTGGTGGGTATAATTAAATAGATATTTTATTACACATGACTCAACTTAGATTGCACAAAGCACTGAAGAAGTAACAGACGTTTACTTTGCATGATGACCTGCTTGTCAAAGCTTTTAAAGATGATTATTTCAAATATGTATTGTGAGTCAAAGAAACAATTACATGGAATATATTGTTGTCAATGCTCATTCCCATTTATATTGAATAATTATAATGTCAAATTAATGTAGCCTACATGTGTAATATGTGTAATGTGTAATTGTAAAGCGCTTTGAGCACCTGAAAAAGCGCTCTAATAAAAAAATGTAATGCATTATTATTATTATTATTACATTCACAGATATAATGGATATGATTGTATTTTTAGATTGGAATAATATCAGAAATAAGAATATTTTTTTAAAAAAAGAGAAAGGTAAATAATCTAAATTAATATGTATATAGCCTACTATGAAGAGTTACACAAAATACATATTAAACACAAGAGACAGGGACCTAGGTAAGATACGGAAGTTTAGGCACATTGATTTATTTCCCTTTTATCCTTCACCTTATTCTTCCTTATCTTAATAATTCTAATGGTTCAACTTTGTTTTGTCCCTGTGCTACAGATACAGAGTGGACCCAGGAAGACACCCAGAAGCTTCTTGCTGCAATGAAAACCATTGCAGCAAGACAGAAACACCTGAAGAGCACATATTTAAAATCACTGAAAGATGTGGACTGGAAAGAAGTGGCTTTCGATCCTTTCACTCCTGAAGCATGCAAAAAGAAATGGGGAGAGATTTTGCACAAGGTGAGTCGCAGTTCAATCCTAAATAGGGATGTCCCGATCACCTATTTTTGCTCCCGATCCGATTCCGATCATTTGATTTTGCCAATTTGCCGATACCGATTTTTCCCGATCCGATCTTTATGCAATGCATTAAGAGAAAAAAAAGAAGAAAAGCATTCAAGTTGTCCCTTAAGGTTATTTAATTTAATTTAAATTGGATATTCTATCCAACATGGATATAGCTTCTTTTTTTCACAGCAGCATTGGATCAGTTCAGTTGTGCAGCATTGGATCAAAACAAAATAAAGCGTATCAGTACTCGTTAGCTTACTGCTACATTTAGACACTGCACCCTGCCCACTCTGTTGCCAGATTTGAGAGAAATAAGCAACCAGGTCTATGAAAACAAGCCCCAAAGAAGCAACACATACATGATGTTGTGTAATTTGAAACCAAAACTAAGGCCTCAGGATGACTTTAAGACTTGAACATGGTCATTTTTGTTTTGTAACATTGAATACAAAAAAAAAAGAAAAAAGTATTTATAAAAGAAAATTAAAAAAAATCCCAATCCCCGATTTTTTGAAAATCACGTGATCGGCTCCGATCCCCGATCACGTGATCGGATCGGGACATCTCTAATCCTAAATTTTAAATTGACAAAACAATGTCATCACGTAGTAGCTGTTTCAAAAGCTTTTAATTATATCATACAATGTACTTCAGCCAATGGAGTCTCCCAGCTGACTCTCAAATCTTAAAGGGGTATTTCGGATTAATTGAAGGGGGTTTTTATACACATTATATATATTTATATATATATCGAATTAAAATGTGTGCGTATAAAAAAGACAGGTAGTGAGAACACCATATTCGTTTTCAATTGTATTTTTATTGGACTCATATGGAGTTGTTCATCTGCACAACTGACAATTTAGTGTTTCAAAATATCAAACTAAAACAAATACACTCTTATGAATGTTTTTAGTGATATCTTTGTTTTTCTTGCGCAGTTGCAGAAGATTCGGACCCTCAAGGAGATCCTCGTTGAAGCTGAAGATGTCATTTCCAATCCTTTGATGAACACAAAGGTAAACCCTGCACAATCTAAATTTAGAGAGCTTCAGGTTGTAAATACCACCTCTCCTAGTTCAGTGTTATTTCTGAAATACCATTTCAATAAACACATTAAAAGTCTACATGTTTCATTCTGCGAGTTAACAGTAAGCTATTCTTTTTTATGCAGATGCACCCAGATCACCCGAAGAGACCCACACCTCCAAATGCCGTCTTTTGCGAGGAGAACTGGGTCAGTTATCATAATAAGCACCCAGATATCGGTCGAAAAAAGATCTTCAGGCGTCTAGCCAACAAGTACCAAGAGCTCCCTGCTGAAGAGAAGGTACAGGCAACATAAACAACATTTCCTTTCATTCTGTGTTATCTGAGGTCTCACTTTTAAATGATGAATTTTCTGACATTTCCCAGGCTCAATATGAGGAGAAGTTTAATCTCGCAAAAGTGGAATACAAGAAAAAGAAGAAGGAGTTCAAGTAATTCATTAATACACTTACCAAATAAATGTATCACATTAAGTATAGGCTGCCTGCTTAAACACAGTGTCAAACTAATTCTTTATATTTCAGAAAACAATGTGAACCGAGACCCAATAAGAAGAGGAAAAAGCTCTCAGACGACAGCACAGATGTAAGTGATGGTCGTTAGTGAAACGTTAGTGTCCTGACTGAATACCATAATCATATAATAACTGTTTCTATGACGACAGTTATTATGAAGGTCACATATAACACTGCTGAAAAGGTTGTTATTATTAATTAACTTAAAATGAATTGAATCCAGCAAATGCAGGAAGAAGAGCAGACTGAAGATGCAATCTCACACAACACACACACACACACAACACACACACACAACACACGACACACACACACCACACACACACACACACACACACACACACTACACACACCGAATGTTACCTCCGAAAC